AATTGGTGTGCACAAACTCCCAACTAATTGAAAAGATGTGTAGCACTTCAAGCGCCTTCGACAAGGCCAGGATTGTTCGCTAGCCGAGCACAGGGCGGAGGTGCCTTTCTTCATACAGTCCCCCTCCAGCACTTCACATTTTTGGTAGGGTGGCAGTCTTTTATTCAGGTATTTGGACAACACTTGAAAGTCACTTCCAAGCCTTAGAAAGGTAAATGTGATTCAAGCAGCTCTGCAGTGTGTCACTGTGCAGAGGGCAGAGTTACAGATTGCCGGGTGTTCAGCGACACCAAAAGACGTTTCATTGATTCAATTATGTGCTATGGTGGTCTCCACTATCTGGATGTAATGTGTCACTTTAACGAGCTTGGAAAGTTAAAGGTAATGGTCAATGCAGAAGATTGAAGGTTTAAAACAGTAGATCTAACCCCAAGCCCCAAAAATCTCATGTAATCTTTAACATGTCATTGTGATTTCGAAAGCAAATTTCAATTTCAAGTCTGCAGCTTTCATTAACATAATTTTTGATGTTCCTGCCATGAAGGTCATTGTTCAGATACTTTCTATTCTAGGTTGACAACACTTTGTCCCTGCCTGCCAATTGGCCTCCAACATTGTCACTCAGGCTTCCAATAGACACTCCACGCAGTTGTTTCAGCACATATTATGCTGGCATGGTCCACTGTTGTCACCAACAGGAAACCAGCCCTGAGAAATGTCATGCAGCCATTGCCGAAGTGTATATAAATAGGAAGTGAATGCAAAGGGACTTTAGGAGATAAAAACAAATTGGTTATTGCCTTTTGATACACAATGCTTTGGGAAGCTAAAATCATTCAGTTATGATGTATCTACTCTAAAGCTGGAATCTAGCCAAACAGCTAAATGCATACAATACACCTCTGCTGCACAGTATAGCCAGAGGAGGACAACACTTTAAGAGCTTGTGTGTGTATTCAGCTCCCCGTGTCACCTTCCCATCTGTAGCCAGTGCACTGGACTATGAGTGAGGAACATCCCTTTATTTAGCTCCTTCCTGTGCTCTTAATATAAAATGTAATATACTGTACTTTAAGCAACTGGTACTATCTAAAGTCAAACATTTTTTGTTTTAGATAGAATGAGGATGATTTGAAACACCTATCAAGGTTTTCTTAGTTATCTGTGTAATCTTGGGAATTTTTTTCTTTACTTCCTGTCTCACTTGGGAAACAGGAAGTAAGTGTTAATCTTCTCTTTGAAAAAAATAACACCATAACAAGTGTGCCCATTGGCAGATTTTCCCTTATCTGTTACGGTCACAACTCAGAATTTAGAATTTTCCATCACTTCCTCCCCTTGTGGTCATAGTCAGTGGTCCGAATAGAGATATATTTCTCCCCAGTGAGTATTTTATTAACCTGGTTAACATTTTAACCCTTTCACACTCTATCCAATACTAACAAAAAAGAAGGCGCAGGTTTTTTTTCTGGGATGGATGCAGCTACTTTTAGGTAATTGAACACTGGCAAAGTTGTCACGACAGCCCAGTATAACCCATCCCACTCCCAGCCTGCCTCATCTTTTTTCAAGTGTCCTTAGGTGATATATGTTTTCTCTTGTTCCGAGAGAAGCACATGCTTTTTCTGCACTTTTCTGCTCAAGCGTTTTCTAGCACATTTCCCTATGTTGCTCACATCCACTGAGGCATGGTTTTCTTCTCGGCAGAACCTTGGTGAACTGTATCGGGCCCGCCAGACAAAGATGTGGGGCCTGCCTGCCAACAATGTTTACACCAACACTCTATTTAGGGTTTCCTTGGCCAAGACCAAACTATCACTTGTTTAAACAATACGTTAACTGTTCCTGTGGAGGATGGTCCTGTTCTCAAGGACCACATGGGCAAAAGTTTAGAATCCCTCACTAAGGCCCTGCTTACCCTTGCAGACCCTGCTGTGTAGCCTGCTGTTGCCACCATAGAGTTGTATCAGACCATATCTGTGTAGTCAAAATCTATGGCTAAAGGATCCTGGGACCATCTTGACGCACCCTACCACTCTAAAATGTCTAGAGCTCTTTCCTATGACCTTTTGCTACTGCACAGATGGCTTAGCACATAACCTTAGACAAATCTCAAAGATGGGTCTCCTTTTTGTCCATCCAGATGTAGCAGATCCTATGCCTTAAATGCTGGTCTGTGGAGCTTCCTTGTCAGAAGTTCATTGACCGCATTTCCTTTACCGGCGAACACCTGTTAGGGGAGTCCTTGGATACGTATATCACTTCCCACACTCAGGAGACTTTCTGGCATCAGTGGACATCAAGGTTGCATATTTGCTTATCCCATTTTTCATGCCCATCAATGCTACCTGCATTTTGCGGTGGACAAGCAAAACTACAAGTTTACCCTTACATTTGGCTGGTCCACTGCGTCTTGGGTTTTCACCAAGGTGCTGGCCCCTGTTTTGGCACTGCTTTGGTCTCAGATGGATCCCAAAACTCCAGAAGTTACAGCTGAACCCCTCTCGTTGCTTGGATTACCTGGGTCTGGTCCTGGACATGGTCCTGTCCAGGTTCTTTCTTCCCACAGAAAAGATCGTATCTCTCAGCTTCCATGCTCGGACCTGGGCTTGATGGTGGTCGCCTTAGCATAGCTTCACTTCAGGCCATTGCAGCTCAGCATTCTGGCTCCAGTCCCGGGACCTCACCATTCACTTGTCCAGCAAAGCCAAGGTTACCCTGTCATGGTGGATTTCCAGCCCAGTGCTAGAATTGGTGAAAATCCTTCCTTCCAAGGGTCTGGAAGGTGCTTACAACAGATGCCAAACTGTCAGGCTGGAGAGAAGTGTTGGGAAACCTCTCAGTTCAAGGGACCTGGTCAACAGAGGAATCTTATCTTCCGATCAACATCCTGGATCTCGGTGCAATTTGGTTGTCCTTTCAATGCTGGACCCATCAGTTACAGGGCCACTTGACCAGGATTCCGTCAAAGAACACCACAGCTGTGGCCTACATTAATCATAGAGGCACCAGAAGTCACGTAGCCCAAAAGAGAAGCAGACCTTTTTATTGGGCCCTGTGATTTCTAGTTACACCCCTTGAAGAGCCCACATAGCTCACCTGAGGGTGACCCTGCAGAGCCCACCATAGACTCTCTATGGTGGGCTCTGCAGGGTC